AGAGCAGGGTTTTGAGGCCTGGGCTTTGCCAGACTTTAACTCATTGGTTGATGGATCTGGGGAAGGTCCAAAAGTACCCTCAGAGAATCAGAGCAGGTAGGGAGGTACACTGAGGGACAAGTTGGGCAGTTTCTCAGAGCATTGGCTCTGTAATGATGGAAACATTTCAAAATAGTAACAACTGGTAGATCCCTGCCAATGTTATCCTGACTGAATACCACCAGGGTATGGGGGTGAGATCTACTAAGAAAGCCAGACATTTTTCAAAAGCCACTTGTCCTTTTGAGGATTTTTTTTTAAACTGGATAATATAAGTCATCAATCTATTTAAGTAGGCACTCAGAAACTGTAATTTCTTGATGTGGTAAGAATGAATAGGGGCCCCACTGTCAACTCCTCCATATTGTACAATCCCTACTTTGCTTTAATATTCTTAGTGTAACTTATGGAACACATGACTGACAGACAGACAGACCAAAAGTCAACAAATGAAATTTATTTCTTGGTAGAGAAATATACATTCTAAGTTTTCCCCTGTACCCAAGTGAATAATCTTGTGCCTTCCTATTTTGGAAAGAAACCACAGTGCAGTTAAAGTACTTGTATTTCTGCTTTGCAAACTTGTAAATCTAAGGTTGCCTTAACATTAGCTTCAGGATGAAAAGAAGATTCTAGAACTAATTTTTTTTAATCCCTGAAATTACCAGTTGCTAAACAGTTATATGCATTTTTTTCAAATTCAAAAGTCGATGGCCATCAGCCAAGAGAAACACTTAGCCTTACAGAGAGAAGCAGATTGTTATTAAAGTCACAGTGGTCATTAACAAAGATGATGTCATAATTAAACAGCTAGGCCTCCCTGGGATCCCCAGGGCCAAGGAGTGGTGATCATAGTTGTTACCAAGGCAGTGAACAGTCACCTGCCTAATGGTGTTTGGTGAAAGTGCCCAGCCTCCAGGGTAAGGTAGTTTTTTGCAAAAGGATCAGGGACCTAGTGTTGCACCAAGTTTGCCAAGCTGGTGGCCAACACAGGGGATTTATGAACTGGTGACTTTGGACTTTCATGGAGAAAAAGTTTGGATTTTTATGTGTATAGAGTACTTTGAGAAGTTTCAGAAAGTCATACTTTTTAACAGAGTAGATTATTCCAGTATCCCAGGATAGATTTTTTCATACAGTTCCAGCAGTTCTTTTGGGAGGAAGAAATATTCTTCAGGATTTTCATAAATTGGGTTGTAATCATTGTTTTACAAAAACCCAAGAGAAGCCTAGTATGCATCGTTTTAGAGTTCCCCAAGTTACCAGACAAAGACAAAGAAGAAATAGAAAGTAGCCAAGGATTCTACCTTTCACTTTCTTTTTCTTCTGTTCTTTCTCCCTCCACCTCCAAACTCAAGTTTTCTGAAGTCCATCTCACCAAGGTCTGGGGAAGAGGTATTGTATAGTGGTGAGAATACAACTTGTCATTAAATCTTGGTACTGTCACTTACCTCCAGTCAAAGAAATCATCAAGAAAAAAAATCACACCAAATACACTTATTGATTACAAGATGCATCCTGTTAAGAAGCAGTGAGATATGGGATATTAGCTATGTAACTTTAGAAGCATTATGTAACTTCTCTTACTTAGTTTCTCATCTGTAAATTAGAGCTTGTAAAAACTTCCTCACAGTGTTGTTGTAAGGACAGTGTAGAGGAAGATTGGCTATTTGTTAGAGACCTTTCTTAGATCTGATTATAGCAATAACTCCAGTGTGTGGATTATTGATGTATGGGTTTGAATCTCCGTGTTTGAATCCCCTCATCAAAGAACTTGCGATGAGAATTTAGTAGATGTTTTTCAGCTGGTGGAGGAATGCAGGGTACTCTGATGCTCCCTATCTATCGAAGCTTCTCCACTCCAAGGGGCCTGGGGAAAGCTAGACTGCCATCAGCATGATTTAGACTTCATTTCTTATCCACATAGTGCTTCACTTTTAGGAGGAACCTTGAATTACCTAGGGCTTCTTAAGAATAAGAGTTTAACCAAAATTGCCCTAGGTGTCATCAGCCTTGACTATAGCAGGGGTCATATCAACAGTATTAACTCAAATATCATTAGCATGTGCTACTACCTCAAAAGCATGTCCTCATCCCCTTTTATAATCCCTCATGGGAATTCTGGTTCTCTCCTTGTGGATGTTTGCCACCAAGGTGCCACTCAGGAACTCACCACTGTTGCTGTTACCAGGACCCTCCAGGAGAAAGCTGAGGAAGCTGTCTCCAGGAGCTTCTAACCAGTGCCAGAGCAACCCTTACCTAAGCAGAGCCACTGGAGTTTGTGTTGCACCTTATCACCTTGGGATAAAGGGGGGGCAGCTTGTGTCCTCAAGCTTCGCAGTGTCCCTTATGAGAGCAGTTCCTGCAACTTCTGCAGCAAGTACTGTCTCCATAGTGCTTAGCTACAAACCAGGCCAGGAGGCCGATTCCATGCCATCCTACTTACTCCTGTCTTCTCTCCTCTCTCCTCTTTCCTCTTGTCAAAACCAGAAAATTCTGTTCTGTGAAAAACAGTGTTATAAGACTGGAAAGACAAGCCATAGACTGGGAGAAAATATTTACAAAATACATATCTGATAAAGGACATGTATTCAAAATATGGAAAGAATTCTTAAAGTTCAACAATAAGAAAACAAACAAGCCAATAAAAAAAGACAAAAAACCTAAACAAAAACCTCACTAAAGAAGATATATACAACATGCTCAACATTAACCCCAAAACCCACCATCATCCAGTCAGTTCCGATTCATAGTGACCCTATAAGGCAGAGCAGAACTGTCCTATAGGGTTTCTAAGGCTGTAACTCTTTAGGAAAGCACACTGCCTCATCTTTCTTCTGAAGAGCAGCTGGTGGGTTCAAACCACCTACCTTTTTTTTAGTTAGGAACTCAGTGTTTTAATTATTGTGCCACCAGAGATTCTTTGTTGTTGTTGTTGTTATGTGCCGTCAAGTTGGACCCAACTAATAGCGACCCCTCCTTGGGTTTCCGAGGCAGTATCACTATAGAAGTAGATTGCCCCATCTTCCTTCCAAGGAGTGGCTGGTGGGTTTGAACCACCAGCCTTCTGGTTAGCAGTCAAGTGCCTTAAGCACTATGCTACCAGAGCTCCTACCAGAGCTTCTAGAGAGAGATAAAGTATGAAAGTATGTTTAGCTTAATATATATACAGATGGCTACTTATAGAAATAGTTATAGGTGTATGTACATATATTGGATAGCATACACATAATTTCCTTGAGCTGTCATCTGGGAGAACTTAGAAACAATGACACCCCAGTAGTAATGAGTACTCCTAACACCAGACTTTGCTTCCTAATACCATGCTCCAGTAAAGGAAACCAAGGCTCCTTGGAGAAGTGGCTATTCTAAGATGGGGAAATCTACAAGATGTGCCTGGAGAATCTTGAAGTGCCAGAAAGTGAGGAAGTACTAAAAATAAACAAATAAGAAAATACCTACATTATGGGAGTATATCAAAGGAACACAGGAGTCAATTGAAAAACTCCCAAAGGCCAAAGCTTGAACAATTTGAGCAAGAAAACAAAGTAGTATTATATTATAACCCAACGTATAAAATAAATGTTCATGGGTCCATACTGGTATAAATGATTTAAAATAAATAAATTGTGAGAGAAGAGATAAAGTCCCCTTGCTGAAGGATTCAGAAAAATGTAGGATTCCTAAACATGTATACTGATACTTAACCCTCAAGGAGGAGGAACATAAATTCATACTCTGTAAGAGTAGACTGCACATAGTGGTTCCTTATGAAGAGTACAGTATAGAAGGGGGGAAAGTGTAACTTTATGGTGGAGAAATCTGACAAACACTATGTCAGTCTGGTGATCAAGGTCAACAGCAACAGTGATACATTATGTTAAGAGCACGTACCTTTGCTATGATGTGATGTAAACAGGAGTCCCTAGCTCCAGTAGCGTAGCACCTAAGGCACTTGACTGCTAACCCGAAGGCTGGTGGTTCAAACCCACCAGCCACTCCTTGGAAGGAAGGTTGGACAAGCTACTTCCATAGTGATACTGCCTCAGAAACCCAAGAAGGGGTCGCTATGAGTCAGATCTGACTCACGGGCACATACAACAACAACAACAGATGGCAGAAACAATTCAGTACTTTACTACTAACTGGTTCAAACCCACCCAGAGGCACCTCGGAAGAAAGGCTTCCAAATCTGCTTCCAAAAGTTTACATCCATCAAAACCCTATGAGTGCAGTTTTACTTTGCAACATATGGGAACACCGTGAGTTGGAATCAACTCAGCAGCAACTGGTTTGTTTGTTTTTTTTTAAATGCCACTTTACCTCTGTGATTTTCCTCCCAAAAACCCATAACCCAGCCAAATTATAAGAAATACATCAGACAAATTCCAGCAGAGGGGCATCCTACAAGATACTTGTTCATCAAAAACAGGAAAAGTCTGAAAAACTGTCATCGCCAAGAGGGGCCAAAATGTGATGTGGTATCCTGGATGGAATCCTCAAACAGAAAGTGGACGTGTAAAAACGAAGAAAAGTCTGAATAAAATATGGAGTTTAGTTAGTAATAATTTATTAATGTCATTTCATTAATTGTAACAAATATACCATAGATGTCATAGTATGGGGAATTAGGAGAGGGAGTATGTGGGAACTCTCTGTTCTCTCTTCTCAAGTTTTCTATAAATATAAAACTGTCCAAAATAATGAAGTATATTAAAAAGCAAAAACAAACAAAAAAGACAATGTAGATATTTTTTTCCAACGAGGAAACTAAAGCTCAGAAAAGTCAAAGTAACTGGCACAAGATCCCCCAGCTACTTAAATGGCAGAGGAGGGATTTGAGTCCTGAGTCCTTTCTACTGGGTCTCACTGCCTTCTGCCCAGCTGTATATGGAACCTCTTCTGTTCCTTGGTTTCCTGCACATCCATTTGTGTGTATGTTTCTTTCCTGTTCTCCCCAGGGTATGGCCTTTACCCTTGAAGAAAGGATACAGCTTGGAATCCATGGCCTAATCCCCCCCTGCTTCCTGAGCCAGGATGTCCAGCTCCTCCGGATCATGAGATCCTACGAGCGGCAGCAGAGTGACCTGGACAAGTCAGTGCCTCAATTCTGCTCTCTCTACCCAATCCCTGGGCTGAGCCATCCATTACCTGTGGTCCACAGAGGGTATTCTGCATACTCCTGGGCTAGATAAGGCTGAGAGGTTTAAGAGATCCCAGACCCAGACCTGCCTTCTACAGGGGTGATGGCCTTCCTGAGGGACAAGTTTTATTATGATCAAGGAACAGGAAATGTGCCCTGGGAAAAATGGGAATGGAAACTGAATTTTAATCAGTGATATCTGGGAGTTATTTATGATGTGCTTGGAACAGTGCTTGACACGTAGTAGGCACTGTGTAAGAGTTTGCTAAACAAGTATGTTGCCTTGCTATGGGCTCCAGCAGAAATGTATGGAGAAGACATTGGTTCCCTTATATAGCAATAGAGCTTAATAGCCAAGACTTTTGACCCACAAAGGGTGGTTGTCCCTGTAGGGGCAGAACTCAGCAGCAAATTCACAGTAGTCTGCACCCATCTTCCTGTGGTCCTGCCCCACCCCCCTTCAATATCATACATTGCTTCTGAGCAGAGGTCTGTCCTCCCTTCCCCACATCCAAAGCTCTAAGCTCTAAGCTCTAAGGTATTACTCACATTAACTCCAAGGCCATGCCGCAGTCCAGGCCAAAAATTCTCTCCCTCTTTATATTATACTCAGATTGGGTCTAGCCCATGTAACCCCAAAGAGCAAATCAGAAATTGCACAATGATTCCAGCTAACAACAGGAGATATGCCCCAACTTTAAACGATCTGAACCTCCCCTTTTTGTTAAATTTACGAGGAAGAACTAAAGTCCGAAGTGAAACCCTCTTTCCTAAAGATACTAAACTCTGAAAGTTAAGGTCCAAAACCCTTCTCTCTCCAGTTCTTTCTAGTTCAGTGGACCTTGCTTATGTGCCTGGAAGGACATCGTGCAGCTCAGGGACAGGGAAGTATACCCATTTCTGGGAGCTCTAGATGCTTGCTCCTGGCACCATGTTGACCATTTTGAGTTGCTCATTCCCAGAAGTCCCTCATTTCAGCAGGTGCTTGGGAAAATGCTAAGGAGGCTCCCCAGCTTCTTTTGGATATGGGCAGTCGTGTGCCAGTAAATGTTTTATAACTAATTTTCCAAGGGTTAGAGGAGGAAGCCCTAATATGTAACATTTGCTGATTTCCATTGTGTAAATATTACCATCATAACTAACTTCAAGTTACTGGCTTGACATCACAGAGTTAAGAAGAGATTTGCACAAACACTAATGGGTAAGAGAATCCTGGTAACCCTGAGTTGGACCAGTGTCTTTGGTGGAGAAGAGGCTGAGGCCCCAAGAGGCCACATGACTTCCCCAAAGTCACACAGCTGGTAAACAGCAGAGCTGGGATTCAAACCTAGGACCACACTCAGTGATCATCCCACTACAGCACAGCTCTTTTCTCCTATGGGAGCTTCTCTCTTACCCCACCCCATGCTTAGGGCCTCTGGTGCCTGGCCCTCTCTCCCAACGTGTTCTCCAGGAAGGGTGTGATAGCAGTCCCTTACACCTCAGTGTGAATTTCAACCCCTGGGTTTTCTCTCCCAGAGGTTTTGTCTTCCAGCTGAGTGTGAATGAAAAGCTCTTTCCTTTTGTTTCATGATTTCAGGCTTCAGGGACAGGGGAGGGAGAGATTCTTCTGGACTGGGCCTCCTGAAATCATTTCTTTCAGGGTCCCTTGAGAATTCTATTTGTGATAGGAAGCAGCCCTGTATGGGGAAGGCCAGTTCATACACAGCTCATATGCTAAGTATTTTCCGTAAACCTGCTCCACCCCAGAATGTTATTATTCTATTGACATTAATTAATATACATAAAATAATAACAAAGAGGGAGCTCAGGTGGCATAGTGGATAAGGCATCTGGCTGCTAACCAGAAGGTCAGCAGTTCAAACCCACCAACTGCTCCATGGAATGGAAAGAAGATGGGGCGATCTACTTCCTTAAAGTTTCACAGCCTCAGAAACCCAGTAGGGGCTGCTATGAGTCAGATTTGGCTCGATGGCCATGAGTTCAGTTTTTAAAAACATAACAGTTTTCAATAGTGGTTGACAACACAAAGTTCAGAGCTAGACTACTTAGGTTAAATCCCAACTCTGCTATGACAATTTGTTGTTGTTGTTATGTGCCATCGAGTCAGACTCATAGCGACCCCTCCTTGGGTTTTGCAGGTGATATCACTACAGAAGTAGATTTCCCAACCTTCCTTCCAAGGAGTGGCTGGTGGGTTTGAACTGCCAGCCTTCTGATTAGCAGTCGAGTGCCTTAAGCACTATGCTACCAGAGCTCCTATGACAATTTAGGTGGAATATTTAATTTCTCTGTGCCTTTGTCTCCTCATCTATAAGATAGCAAGAATTATAGACCTACTACACAGGTTGTTGCAAGCTTTCAATGAGTTAATGATTCTAAAATACTTAGAACAGTATCTATACCATGTATAATAATAAGCACTGTGTGTTAACTAGGAGCTCTGGTGGCGTAGTGTCTAAGGCATTTGACTGCTAACCAGAACTACTGTTCAGATCTGTGGTGTCTAAACTGTCTTGAATCCCTTTAACAGCACTGCAAGGCAGATGTTATGTTGAAACCTTTACTTAGAGAAGATGGGTGATTGGCTATGAATGTGCCCTCAGAACTGGCTGAGCAGAAGGGGAGCCCTGGGACTCTGACTGCCCCACATGGCCCTTGGCTCTTTCTACACAGTGGCTACCAAGGGCCTTCCCTGCAGCCACTTGTTTGTAGCACTCTTAGCTTCTATTGAGTTGGCCCCAGTGGAAGGAAATGCTGCCCAGTCCTGCCATCTCCATGATTATTTGCAGGTTGGACCATTGCAGTCCATAGGGTTTTCATTGGCTGAGGTTTGGAAGTAGATCACCAGGCCTTTCTTCCTAGTACATCTCAGTCTGGAAGTTCCATTGAAACCCGTTCAGCAACATAGCAGCACACAAGCCTCCCCTGACAGAGGGTGGGGGCCACACACGAACCCCCTGTGGTCAGCTTTGTTTTTATCTCCACTTTTCAAGGTACATCATTCTCATGACTCTCCAAGACCGGAATGAGAAGCTCTTCTACCGAGTGTTGACCTCGGATGTGGAAAAGTTCATGCCGATTGTCTACACACCCACCGTGGGGCTGGCCTGTCAGCAGTATGGCCTGGCCTTCCGCAGGCCTCGGTGAGCCTTTGTGGGAGCTGGGGATGAGGGCTCAGTTTGGGGGGCATTTAATCCTAGAGAAGGGATTGAATTATTTTCACCTTCCTTGCTTATTGATTGAGAGTCTGGGAACTAACTCTTGCCTGGGTCAGTGGCCCGATAAACAGACATGTGATTTTAAGCACTTGCTCAGGAAAATTATCCTGTAAGCAGAGAAATGAACTGAGGGTGTGTCTGGGCAGAGAGGGACAGCAGAGCTTCACCAAACAATAAATGCCCAGTGTATAGTTCGGAGCTGGCGGGAGAGCTACTTCACATTGTTCTTCTCTCATTATCTACCTGTTATCCCCTCCCCTGCATCTGCTCTGGTCATCCCTAAGTGCAAAACACTATCCTCACAACTCAGCCAGTTAATAACGGAAACTTGGACACCAAACACTGAATTCTTCTGCTGACTTAAAGAATGAGTATTCCTTCCTTCATGCTTCACTCAGATTTCACTTAAAATGTCATTTTATTAGGAAAAAAAAAAAAGCACTACATTTATTTTAGAGCCAAAAAAGGGGGTGGGGCATTTTTCCAAAGAAATCAGTGGTTTTGTTCATGGTGATGTCAGAATATATATATTCTTGTTTTTTTTTTCATGATGAGGTCATTTACACTTTTTGTTGTTGTTAGGTGCTGTCAAGTCAATTTTCAATTCACAGCAACCCCATATGACAGAGTAAAACTGCCCCATAGGGTTTTCTAGGTTGTTTTTCTTAACAGGAGCTGATTGACAAGTCTTACAGAGCCACTTGGTGGGTTCAAACTGCCAGCCTTTCAGTTAGCAGCCAAGCACTCAGCTGTTGTACCACCAGGGCACTCTCTCTCTCTCTCTGTCCAGTCAGAACTGGAAGGGACAGACCAGAGCCACCAGAACCCAATGTCTCCCGCAGGCGCTGACCTGCATTGTAACCAGGCAGGGCATGCACCACCACATCAGTCTCAGGAACCATGGCATTTGTGAAAACCCAGCTGTGGCTGGCTGAGCCACAGAGCTACAAACTGAATACAAACAAGCTCCACCTCCCTGCCCCTATATGTGGCTGGATTTTGCCCTAATAGATGTTATGCTATGGATATATATATATATATATTTCCCCCCACTGCCAACGAGTCAATTCTGACCCATAGCAACCCCCATTGGGTTTCCAAGGTGGTAAATCATTACAGAAGTAGATTCCCCCATCTTCCTCCCACAGAGCAAGCTGGTGGATTTGGACAGCCAACCTTCTGGTTAGCAGTCAAATGCCTTAGGCACTGCACCACCAGAGCATCTTATATATAAATATATATATATATATATATATATGAGAGAGAGAGAGAGAGACAGAGAGAGAGAGAGAGAGAGAGCATTCTGGTGTCATAGTGGGTAAGGCATTAGGCTGCTAACCAGAAGGTCAGCAGTCCAAACCCACCAGCTTGCTCCACAGGATAGGGCAATCTACTTTCATAAAGACTGACCAGCTTGGAAACCCAATGTGTGTTGCTATGGGTCAGAATTGACTCAATGGCAGTGAGTTTGGTTATATTCACATATATAAATATTTATATATATATACACACACACACACACACACACACACACACACACACATATATATATATGTAAAAATGGAAAGATTTTCAAAGGGTCCTTAGCTACTGATACATAGTTACAAACTTGGAGCACTGATGTTAAGAGTTCTGTCTGGGTTCATTATATATAACATAACATTGTTTTACTCTGTGCTAGAATGTGCAAATATATTATGTACTGTACTACAGTCCTTGGGTAGAGCAAAGGTTAATGTGCTTGGCTGTTAACCAAAAATTTGGCAATTCAAGTTCACCAGAGATACCTCAGAAGAAAGGCCTAGAGATCTACTTCAGAAAAATGAGCCACTGAAAACCCTATGGAGCACAGTTCTACTCTATAGAGTCAGCATAAGTTGGAATCGACTCGACGACAACTGGGTTTATTATGTACAGACATGTAATTTACATTTAGGTAGAATTTATAAATCTATGTTTATAAATCAAGTGTTACATGAGGTACATGGAAATATGGATCTAGAATATCTCTTGTTCATTTGAAAATAAGCTGCCAGCTTTGAAGCCACCATTTGGAATGAACGTTGCAGGCCACTCATAAGGAGGAAGCTCCCAGGCCCATTCTCTTCCTTTTCTGGTGCCAGTGGAAGAACAGCAGAGCACAGAGCATCAAACGTTGTCTTGGTCAGGGTACCTGGCTGTTGAAGTAGACCTGTCCTCATCTCTCAGAACAGCCCCTATGCAGTATGGCTGCAGCAGCTGTGCTAGCTTTTGCACTATTATAGGGCAAGGGCGGCACAGGGGAATCCTGCCTGGGCTCCAAGCAGTTCTGGGCTTCAACCTGCTACTTTCAACAGGAAAGAGACTCCTGTTCTCTTATTCTCTTTCCCACGGAGCTGTTAGGAGCTCCTGGTACATTTCCGAAGGATGAAAGGCTCCCCTGACTTCCCAGTTCCTGCTCAGAAATGGTCATTTTAGGTCCTTCCTCCTGCACAGCATAGGTCAGCTCACACCATTTCCCTCCTCAAAGGCTTTCACTGGCCCTGAGGGCTTAAAGAACCAAGTCCAACACTGACAGAGCATTCTGAATCCACCATGTTCTAGCAATACTAATCTATCCTTCATGCCCAAATTACACTAAGCATTTTCATGCCTCCATACTTTTGGGAATGCTATCTCCTTTGCCTCAAGTGTCAGCTTCTCTTTGGAATCATCCCTAAACTTCCTCTAGACCAACTGATCACTTCCTCTTCCATGTCCCCACAGTTCATTACACATACTTCTGTTTCATAGGAAGCCAGCCATTGCTTAAGCCAGAATTCTGACTGTGGAAATCAGGGAAAGCTTCACAAAAAAAGATGCCGTGTGAGCTGGGTCATACAAGATGAATGCAAAGAGTTGAGACAAAAAGCATTTGCCTACAATGATCCCCTACCCCCCCCCCAAAAAAAAAACTCACTGCCGTCGAGACAGATCCAACTCATAGGGACCCCTCCTTGGGTTTCCGAGGCAGTATTGCTACAGAAGTAGATTGCCCAATCTTCCTTCCAAGGAGTGGCTGGTGGATTTGAACCACCAGACTTCTGGTTAGCAGTAAAATGCCTTAGGCACTACACCACCAGAGCTCCCTACAATGATCCAAGCATACCCCAATTTGCTAGAATGTAATTTGCTGGGATTTCATGGTAGGTAAAGCAGAAGAGTAGAGTGGCTCAGTAGAACTGACCAGTGGTTCTACCCAATAAAGAGGCAGTCCTTGGTCTCCTTCATACCACCCAAGGAGGTTGGATTAGTGGGAACCTCTTTCAGACTCAGGTCCAGGCTCCACTAGAGGGTTCACCAAGAGATCAGTGATGGACAGGGATTTGGCAGCAGAATTGTGAGTCTATGGGTGGAAAAAGTCCCTGCCAAGCACCTGAGGTCAGGAAACTGTAATAGGGAATGACCCCAAAGAGGATCGCTGTCTGGCACACGGAGAATCCAATTTTTGGAAACAGCGTTTGAGAAAAAGAAAGTAGCTTTATTTGCATAATGCTAGGTAGGTAAGGAGGAGCTATGAGTCGGGGCCGACTCGATGGCAAATAACAACAACAACAACAACAACAACAGGTAGGTAAGGAGGAGGAGGGAGATCTGGTGGCATAGTGCCTAAGGCATTTGACTGCTAACCAGAAGGCTGGCAGTTCAAACCCACCAGCCATTCCTCGGAAGGAAGATGGGGCAATCTACTTCTGTAGTGATACTGTCTCGGAAAACCCAAGGAGGGGTCGCTATGAGTCAGGTTCGACTCAACGGCACATAAGAACAACAACAACAACAACAGGTAAGGAGGCAGGAGGAAGCCTTCCTCAGATCTGACTCCTTGAAGTAAGTGTGAGTTACATTATTATGGGGTTTAAAAAAGGGAGGTTATACATACTCATTTAAATTCTAGGAGATCTTATGCATGGGGATTTTTAGGGTAGTACAAGTGCAGATGCAGTTCTAAACATGGCGTCCTTAGCATTATCAATGGGGGAGTTTTCATGGATGATGTGTCACTAGGTCATCTCAGGACAAGGCTGGAGTATTCCGCACATGTTCCATGGGCCAAATCTGGTAGTAACCAGTGTACTCTTGTCTCCTGCTTGCAACTGCTGTTTTCAAAAGAGAAACAACTTAAAGGAAATTACCACGGAAAGTTACTAATTCCAAGAGCTGTGAGGGCATGGGCCAGGTTACAGAACCAGATCAGCCTTGGGCAAAGGTGGAGTAGGGTGCTGCAGAAGTTGGACACATCATGTGAAGAAAGGCAAGTAACAGTCCCAGCAGAGAACCTACAAATGAACTGGAATCAGAAGAAAAGCATAATCATAACAGGAACAGCTTACTACTACAAGCCAGGTCATGTTCTGAAATCTTTACATATATTAACTCATTTAATTATCACAACCACTCTGAGGCAGGTATTATTATCATCCTATTTGCAGATGAAAAATAACTTGCCCAAGGTCACACAGCTAATAACTGGCAAAGCTAGGATTCAGACCTCTGCAGGCTAACTCCAGAGTATAGGCAAGTAAACACTACCCCCACACTGCCTCTTCTGGTTAGGGACCATAAGAGCATGTGGTGGGCATTCAGAAGTGGGGTATCCTCACAGGCCCAGGAATGTCTGATTCCCCAAAGGAGTATAGTAGAGATTACCAGCTAACGTTTCCAGAGCCTCTTTTGGGAGGATTGATGCTAGCACCTGCAGCTGGAAGGGGCTGAGGCAGGCATAGGCAGACTGAACTGACTTCTTGAATTGGTCCCTCACACATTCGGTACAGATTTCCCGCATATGTTTTGCACGGACCATTCTTCAGATGATTACCCAATTAAGTTATTTGACATGTAACATTCTGAGCTGTTGCTCCAGGTTTTCATATGGTTGCTTTCCAGGTGTTGATTCCTCACCTGCCTTG